TCCTATGGATGAAGACAGTGGGTCGGGAGTGAAGGAGGGTGGGGTGGGACCTGGGTGGAGGGGAGTTATGGGGGGGAAAAAGAGGAACAAATGTAATAATCTGAACAATAAAGATTTAATTAATTTAAAAAAATAAAAAAAACAGTTTTATTATTGTTGTTTTAAAAATATATAGAGATAAGTTTAAAGAAAAGGAAGGACATATTCCAACTAAAAAGGCCTATGCTCTTCATTTTAATAGATCTATTTGGTCACAGGCATGATGAATTTTGACTAACAATGGTTTAATGAGTATAGTTTAAATACTGTTTAATATGTCTGTAATTAATCTACTACAAAATTTACTACAGGAAGATTTAAAATTGGTTCTGTTTTAATGTATCACTGTGTGCAACCATTTCTTTAAAACCAACAAAAAGTGCCGAAACCGGTTTGGCTCAGTGGATAGAGCGTCGGCTTGCGGACTGAAAGGTCCCGGAGTCGATTCTGGTCAAGGGCATGTACCTGGGTTGCGGGCACATCTCCCGTGGGAGATGTGCAGGAGGCAGCTGATCGATGTTTCTCTCTCATCGATGTTTCTAACTATCTCTCTCCCTTCCTCTCTGTAAAAAAAAAATCAATAAAATATATTTTTTTTAAAAAAAAGATTGGGCTTTTTTAAAAAATAAAAATAAAAAATAAAACCAACAAAAAGAATAAAATAATCTGAAAACTGAAAAAAAAGAAGAAAAGGAAGGACAAAGAAATATCATTAAAATCCTAATATAAAGAAAGCCAGAGTAAGGAGCTGAAAATGTTTAATTGGATGTGATAGTGATGTAAAAACTTATATCATTCTTAACTACATTTTTTTTGAATTGAAAATATGAGAAAATTAACTTTGCCCATGATATAATTATAGGACAGAATGGATATAACATAATCTCATTGAAAGAAGTGATTAATGAACACTGAGCAATTCAATACTTATAATCAAATTTAGAAAAAAATATAGACTAGCAATATAAAAACAATTTGGAGTCCCATCTTTCTTTTTTTAAATTTTTTTACTGATTAAGTTATTACATGTATGTCCTTATCCCCACATTACCCCCCATCCTCCCCATTCATGCCCTCACCCTCATTGTCTGTGTCCATTGGTTAGGCCTATGGAGTCCCATCTTTCATATTCTGATCCTCCTGCTTAGAACAAGTACGAGAGCTGGACAAAAACCAAACCAAAACAAAATCACCTATTGAGGGCAATGGAGAATAAAGATAGTGACCCTTTATTTGACCACGATCCTAAAAAAGAAGAAACCCTAAAGGAGGTGATTTTGGCACTTGGCCCACTTTTCTCATATAGACATGTTTTTGAAAGAAGCAGTTCAAAGTCTTAGTAGTTGAACAAAAATTTTAACACACTTATGGGAAAAAAGAAGCTCAGGGGCCAAAAGGGAGGAAGCACTTAGAAAAACCTCTGATCCAAGGTGGGACTCTGTAGAATTACACCCGAGAGTAGTGGTGAACCAGAAAATTACTAGCTCTATCACCTTGACTGCATTATGTCATGTAGTATTCTAATGCCTACCAAAAGCAAACATAATTGTACTTAAACAATATAAACAAATGGTCTCACTAAAGTTAATTTGAAAATTAAATACAGAAAAATATATAAATACAAAATATTAAAATTCTCAGAATAACTCAAGTAAGAAACATATGACTTCAGCATGGAACAGTAAACACTGTTACTGAAAAAAAAATTAAGAAAAATTAAAGGGCTATATGAGATATTTATAGTTTGGAAGTCACAATCTTGAGGGAGATTTCTGGATGCAGTATAACTCCAAATACAATATATCTATAAATTCCATTCCTTGTCAAAACCACAACAAATTGTTTTTAACTTGTATATTAGCAAATTAAATCTAAAATCTAAACAACTGCAAAGAATCAAGAATAGCTTAATCTTTCTTGAAAAAAAGGACAAGGTTGGAAAGACCTTACTCAACAAGATATTCATATTATTTTTAAAAAATATGTTTTTTATTGATATTTAGAGAGACAGGAAGGGAGAGAGGGATAGAGAGATAGAAACACTGATGAGAGAGGAACATCATCGATCGGCTGCCTCCTGCACACCCCTACAATGGGGATTGAGCCTGCCAACTGGGCATGTACCCTGATGGGGAATCAAACTTGTTACCTCTTGGTTTCTGGGTCAACACTCAACTGCTGAGCTACACCAGCTGGGCAAGATATTCATCTTAATTAAACACTATAAGTAAATATGGCATTATGGCACAAGGATAGACAAACAGACAAATGTGGTGCAACTGATTGCTAAACAAGAATATAGTACATAGGTATACTTGATTTGTGACAAAATTGGCAGAGCATGGGGGAAAGAAGAGTGGGTTGTTTTTTTTTTTCATATAAATGGTGCTGGGTCATCTGACATCATATTATTCCCATCCTCATTAAATTCACAAAACTTAATTCTAGATGGAAGATTCACCTAAGTATAAAAATCAAGAAGGTAAGGTAGGAAAAATGTAGGCAAAGGTATCACCTACAACAGAAAAAGCACTAACAAACAAAACTAGATAAACTGTTTCATTAAAATTTACAATTTCCATTATCAAAACAGATCATATAGATAATGATAAGAAAAGCAGAAAATAGGAGGTTAGATAGATAGATAGATAGATAGATGATAGATTGACAGATTGACAGATATAATAATCATTAAAGGGCTCAATTTAAAAATACATAGGAACCTTTAAAATTAATAAAAAGAAGATAAGTAACTGCATTTTTTAATTAAAAAAGGATTTCAACAGGTAAATTACAAAAGAGGAAAATGAAAGACCAATAAATATATAAGAGAGTGCTCAACTTCATTAATCATCAGGAAAATGCAAACTAAAAATACAATGGAACAACATTGTACTTCTACCAAAATGGCGCAAACATAAGATTGATAATGCTAAGCATTGTTAAAGATATGAAGAAATATGAACTCTCATATGCTTCTGTTGAGTAAACTTACCTAGCCACTTTAGAAAACCAAGTGGCATTATGTAATGGAATTGAACTTGCATAAACACTATGAATCAGAAATACTACTCCATGTTATTTACCCAAAAGGTATACATATAAATGTGAAATCCAACTAAGAGTAATGTACAAGCAGCACTGCTATGTAAAACATAGCATTATTTATAATGGCCCCAAACTAGAAAATTCCAATGACTATCATCAGTGAGATAGATTAATAAATTCTAATATTTTTTAATAAATTCTAATCTTTTGTAATTTTATTCCCACAAAGGAATAAAAATGGAATAAAAATAAACTTTTGCTATATACAACATGGATGAATCTCATAAACATAATGTTGAACAAAAGAAGCCAGAGACAAAAGAATACATACTGTACAATCCCACTTATATAAAATTCAAAAAATACAAAACTAACCTAGTATTAAAAGTGAGGGTAGTGAATCTGAAGGGGAGCAAGAATAGTATCAAGAAAAGGAGCACAATGTTGGGCTATTGGAATACTAATAACATTCTACTTTTGGATTTCGGTGATGGTAACATAAGTGTGTTCATTTGTTCATTGAGCTTTTAACTCTGCATTTGTGTAATACTTGAATTTAAAATGTGAATACATACTTGTACCTACGTGTGTGTGTGTGTGTGTGTGTGTGTGTGTGTGTGTGTGTGTGTGTTTGATTCCTGGTCAGGGTACATTCCCAGTTGGCAGGCTCGATCCCCATTGTAGGGGTGTGCAGGAGGCAGCCAATGGATGATGTTCCTCTCTCATCAGTGTTTCTATCTCTCTATCCCTCTCTCCCTTCCTGTCTCTCTAAATATCAATAAAAAACATATTTTAACAAACATCATTTAACAAAATGTGGGCCAGTCTCTTCTAGGAATGCTCTTTGACATGCTACTAAAACAGTGGTTCTCAACCTTGGCTGCACATTAGAATCACCTGGAAATCTTTTTAAAATCCTGATTTCTGGGCCTCATCCTCCGGAAATTCTGTTTCTTTGTTATGGGGTGGGGCCACAACATTAGTAACAAAGAAACAGAATTTCTGGAGGATGAGGCCCAGAAATCAGGATTTTAAAAAGATTCCCAGGTGATTCTAATGTGCAGCCAAGGTTGAGAACCACTGTACTAAAACAAAGGGGGCCTAATAAAAGGTGACAGGTGAAAATTTGACTCTGGGTGCTAGACATATAGTGCAATATAAGATCTTGTAACATAGAAAGTCATATGTTCATGTTGACCAATATCACTCCAATCAATTTAATATTTTTTTTAAAAAATCAAGATTTTTAGAGAGAGGAAGGGAGAGGAAGAAAGAGAAACATCTATGTGAGAGGGAGACATCGATTGGCTGCCTCCTGCCAGGGACTGAGCCCACAATCTAGGAATGTGCCCTGACCTGGAATCTAATAGGCAACCTTTCAGTGCATGGGATGACACCCAACTAACTGAGCCACACTGGCCAGAGCTAAAAATATTTTTACCTATATTAATCACAATAAAAAAGTGTTTGGTTATTCAAGTTCCAATTATATATGTTAACCTATAATTTAAAAGTTTATTTTGAAAGTCTATATTTAAACTTTCCTTCATCATCCCAAAGATGCCCAATTTTATCATTTGTGTATGTTTTTTATTTTATTGGATATTGTAACATGCTATATGACAATGGATTATATATTCAGTACAATCAATGTCTGAAAAGTATTCAAGATCTCTGGATCCTAAAATATGATAACAGATTTCTGTATAATGAATAACAAGGTAAAAGCATTAAAACAATGCAATTATGAAATGTAGTCACACTACATCATACAATTCTCAAAAATTCTTAGCTATACCTTTGTGTTCATTGTGTACTGTTTCACTGTGTTTGAAAGGGCAGGGAGGGAGTAAAATGAGTAAAACCCAAAGAAATTGTAATGTATACCTCATGTTTTCAGCCGAGTCTTCTGGCATTGGAGCAACAGTTTGTACAGCTGGAAGGTTTTTGCTGGTAGCACCATTCACAAAACTAGAAGAGGAGGAAGAGGACGAGGACCCTGAATCCACTGCACCTGTTTCCAAAATAATAATTTTTAACCTTAGACATAAATTTATTTAACAAAATAATTTTTATTACATTATTGCTATCTGATTTTGAAGAATTACTCATCTAAATTACAAAACAGATTTTAACAATTAAAAAATCATTGGCTATTATTACACTAATAACTATTTATAATTATAGTTAATGTGTTGCATTAAATCCCAGTTGATTTCCTAATATTAATCTAACAAAACTACATATTATAAATGTGGTCTAAATAAAAAACATCAACAAATGAAAATAATTTTAGATAAAGTGGGACTGATAAAACCATGCAAAGTTAGATGTGGAAAATTTATCTGTTTTATGGTTATGCTGTAATAATTTTAGTTTCCATCATCGAAGATATAATTAACAATAAAGTGTCTGAGTATAAATTTGTGGCACTAGAGCACCAAATGCTTATTTTGATAGAATGATTATATAAAAACAGCTATAATGAGTATAACTATACCTGATTTTAAAATGAGTTCTCAATGATATGAAGATGGCATTTTAGAACAGACTTTTTTATAATTCATAAGTATATGAAATAGCTGTGGAGTTGAGAGACATCTAGTGTTCCTAAATATTATTTTATCTTCTATTAATTCCCATAAAAAATGATTGCTTCCTGGGATTTCCACTCTTAACATACAGCATCTCTGTACCAAAATATAGGCTATCCCCCCAAAATGTATACATATTTCAAAAGCTGATAATTCACTTAATTTTCATTCCTTTTCACATTTAACAGATTTGAAATAATGGGTAAAGCCAGACTAAGCTTTGAACAAAGAAAATTTATCCCAAAGTGCCACTAGACTTTTTTTTTATAGGGATACATAAAAGATAAATTTTACAGAACAAAATCAGCAACAGTCGATAAATTAAGGGCACACAAATAACGAAAGAAATTATTCTTGATGTTTGCGATTCCATTACTTAACTTTATCAGAGTTCCTGGACTAGAATGTTCATCAGTTTGAAAAAAGGCATTGACAAAAAATTTTATTCATTTCTGTAGATTCTTTTATATTCTGAAAATGAACTGTATATTAATAAACACTGACTTTATAATCATTCAAAGTGTGTATACATTTTTTGGGGCACCTCGTATAAACTGGATAACAGGACCCATTTAGACTGGCCCACAAAATGTGTGTGCACATTTTGTAAGGCAACAAAACCTCTAAGGAGGGAGTTTATTACTTACACTAGAGGTCTGGTGCACGAAAATCGTGCAGGGAGGCGGGTCTTTTAGCCCAGCCTGTGCCCTTTCACAGTCCGGGACCCCTCAGAGGATGTCCAACATCCCTCTCGCAGTCCGGAGCTCTCACAGTCCAGGACCCCTCTCTCCTTACCATCTGCCTGCAGCGGAGGTGGGAGAGGGTCCCCCACTGCCACTGTGCTCGCCAGCTGTGAGCTCAGCTTCTGGCTGAGCGGCACTCCCCCTGAGGGAGCTCACTGACCACCAGGGGGCAGCTCCTGCATTGAGCGTCTGCCCCTGGTGGTCACTGTGCATCATAGTGATTGGTCGTTCTGCTGTTCTGTTGATTTGCATATTAAGGTCTTTTATATAGGATTTTATTTTTCATTATAATATTATATACTTCATACTATCAGACCTCTTGTTACCATTACTTCCTATATCTCTTATTAATTCATAAAATAGACATTAGAACAAAATAACTTGTTTCATATAAAGATAAAAAGCTGATTTAATTTTTCATTTGCCTATATTTTAAAAATAAGGACTTATTTAATAAATACCAAGTGCAGATTTTTTTCTACTACATTGGCACATTGGCATATGTTAAATACCTTAACACATTTTCTGGTATATATTTGGTAAAATAAAAACATTTATATTCCTATATCTAGAAAGAAAAATGAATATAAAGAGTAAGATTGTAAACAGAATACAAAAATTTTATATAAAGTCTTCAGAAAAGACAAATGTATTTATTTATAATACAGGTAAATCAAAGATGTTATGTTCTTTAGCACAATGCCATCAATGATGTTTATTTGTTCATATAAATATCAGAGTACATTCTACTTACTATAACCCCATAAACGTGTTGCTCATGATATGTCACTCTGGTGGTATGATAAACAACACAGATACAGAAAGCACAAAGAGCTATGAAATTAATAATCTAAGTAATAATAATAGATGGAAAAGTTCAAGGCTATACAGTTTGGAGAAGAGAAAGCTACTATAATCAGGGAAGAAAAGTCATGGATCATCTTGCGCTGTATAAATACCTAAAATGGAATCACAAAGATTTGTGTAAGGATTTATTTAGCTATTAATCAATAGGAACATTTCTGGAAATTTACCAAAAATTTTTAAAAAGGCTATTTTAGGCAGGCTTTTAAAGTTTGTAGTGATTTGGAATTGTCTGTCCCTAGAATCATTAGAAAAATGTTGGACAATGAATTGGAAACAATTGTAATCTAGGTATATATACTAATTCAATGTGATACAATGGTTCTTAGTCACATGCATTTTTTTTATCAAGTTGAAGATCTTACATATCATCAAGGTTCTTAGTGGTGCTCTGCCTTCCCTTAGAGGAGTTAGCAAAAAATATATAGATTAGGATTCAACCAGTAAATGTCATGAAATCTAGTTTCTATCACTAACATACTTAGTACACCTTGTTATTCTTGATAAAATGTACTACTTTTTTACATATTAAACTTCAGTGTTCAAATTACCATTGGTTTTGCTCTCCAAATACCTTTCAGCAATCTGATTTCACTCTGAAAGTAAGTAGTACTATGTTTTGAGAAGACTCAAAACCACAATTACTAAGTGTCCTCTCAAATGACCATGAAAAAATATACCCTAGAATTAGACAAATTCTGAAAGGTAGTAACATAAGGTAGAACCTTCGTAAAGATTAAGATAACCTTAAGTGATCAGGGTATTTTATTTTTAATATCAAATAAACACAAAAATGAAGATACAGAAAACAAAAAGAAAAAGATGAGATATCACAAAAATATATAAGGACGATACCTGTTGTATTAATCATACTTTTTGGTGTAGCTCCAGTAGCAGCAAATATATTAGAAGTGCTGCCTGTTGGCAGCCCACTTCCAGCTGCAGTGGCTCCCACAGTGGTTACAGCTAAACTACCTGGAGGTGGCTTCTTCACAGGCACCACGACACTCCTGCAAAGAAATAAATGATAGGCAATAATAAACACAAGGTTTTGATGAATTGTAATCCTACTGTGGCAGATACATATAGACAACATATTATTTTCTTTTCTTTCTTTCCCTTGCTTTAAAAATGAGCACAACTTCATTGTTGAAAACAATATGGATACTAAGTATATTGTAAAGTGTATTCACTACTATAATTCATGTAGCAAACATTTATACAGAACTGAAGTTTTCAAACATTTCTCAAGATGGCATGTGGGCTATAATCATGAATTTGGGAAAATGTGTGCTCAATTTAGAATATTTTGCATATGCACACTGTTTGTTTTTTTTTGCAAAATATACATAAAATGTCCATCTTACCACATTTTATTCTCCATCTGTAAAATAGTCATAAGAACTTTGAAAAACAAATTCTAAGTCTTCTTCATAGTAAAGCAAAAAATTAAACCAAGAACTCTTATACTAAGGTTATATTTTTATTTTTATGGACAAAATTGAATTATTTATCATAGTAGGAATGTAATGAAAAAGAACTAAGACTATACACTAGACATTTGGTGAAAATCTATTAGCTTTTAAGCCTTGACTTTTTGAACATAGGAGCTGAGTATTTTCTTCCATATTTCTTTAGCATATTTAAATGAATTTCACACAAAAAAGACTGAATGTGACAACCTTAAATTATAAATGAGTAGGAATATTAGCTAATTTAAAAGATAAAGAAATTATTTTTCTGACATAATACTAGGTATCGTTATTTCTTTGCAGGAGGCTTTATTATTCTCAAAGTCTATAGCACTGCTACTTCATTTAATGCATACTTTCAAGAATACATTGAACTTATTTATCTAGAACAATGATTTTTCATCAGATTGATGATTTTTCATCAATCTTTTTCATCTCATGGCACACATAAACTAATTACTAAATTTCTGCAGCCCACCAAAAATATGTTATATATTTTGCCAATCTGACAAAAATTAGGTATAATTTTGCTTCATTCACATCAGACAGCTATTGTTGTGTTGGCTGTTGTCATTTTTTAATTTGACAACCTAAGGGAAAAGAGGCTAATTCCCTGACTAAACAATCAGGTATTGCATGTTTTAAAAATTCTTGCAACACACCAGTGTGTCTCTGCACACCAGCTGAAATATCACTGATCTTGAAATTAGATGTTTTAAGCTCAAGTGTAATGCTTGAAAACTGGTTATGGAGAGTGCAAAATATCCAATCTAAATTAGATCTTTAAGTATACTTATATTTTACAATTTTCCCCTTTAAAAAGCTCTACTTCAAAAAATGTGTCTCAATGGCTCATGCTCAAATAAGTTTATGACTTAAACTTTCTTAATGCCAATACTTCTATTAATGTCATCAATGACTTCTTCAATGTTAAAAGTCTAAATTTGTAAAAATTAGTATTCTTAACTTTAGGAATTATTAGTAAATATTATTAATTATTATTCTTTAATTTTTATAACCAAAGGTTATAACCTTGAAAATTTGACATGAGCCAAAAAATTTTCTTCATGACTTATGGGTACTTGGTTCTTTTCTTTCTATGGGTATATTCAAATTCATTACACTCAACCCTGAACTCTCAACTATTTATTAAACTATCCAAATCACATATTATGTTTTCATCACTTCATTGGCCATTGTTTCTCTAATTACTTCATTTATACCATTGAGAGGCAATATGACATAGAAAGAATATAGGATGTGGACTTAGAAAATTAAGTCATTAGAACTAAATCACTCTCAAGCTATGTGATCTTAAATTTGTTTATCACTGTAAAAATGGCAAGATGAATACCACTATGTCACATATAAGGGGGGAGATTAAAGACTATTTAAAAAGACTTTGTCAAGTATGAGTTATCTTATAGATGTTAACAATTGTTACCACTGTCTAAACTGAAATAATTATCTGCCTTTAAGATACACAGTATCAAGTTATAATGAGCTACATAAAGATCAATGCAAAAAAGAAAAAAATGTAATTTGGGGTTTATCTTCTCTAAATGTCAAAACTAATGTTGAGATGCACTATTTCACTAACTACCTAGAAAGAAAACAAAATTACCAAGTCCTGAAAATAAGTCATTAGTGAAACTATAATACTTTTTATCTACATCTCTCATTAATATCTTTATGGATAAAATAAAGAAACACAGGCTGATTAACAGTGCTGTGATACAAATTTACAGATGGTAGAGACACAACTACCCAAAATTTCTGATTAACAGATCATTACCACCTTTGGGCAAAAACTCTCTCTGTAAGACTAGTGCAGACAATTTGTCAAGTGCTAAAGCTAGAGAACTGTAGTATGAAAAATTAGTTACATGGATGAGAGAAAAAAAGAATTTAACCTCAACAACCTGTAACAATGGCTTGTAATAAATGCAAACATTATATGCATGTCTACTAAAAAAACAAAGCATCTGATTTAATAGCAATTAACATGAAAGTCTCCAGACACTTCATTGACAGCAAATTCAGCAGTGTCTGATAGATGGCATGGTATTTATTATAGTAGCACAGTGGATAAAAACCCAGTTATTAATGACAGCAAACCTGAGTTAGAAGCCTACCTCCAACAATTACCAAGACATATGGGCATATGTTACATTGAGCAAGTAAATCTGTCTAAAGCTCCATTCAATTTGAAACTCATTAAATTGTTATAAAGATAAAAGGATATAATGCATATAAAGTGCTTAGCACTTTACCTGGAATACTGCAAGTGGTCAATACATTTTAGCTATTATTGATACTTTTATGACTCCCAAAAGAACTGATGCAATCTGGGTCTATATCAGTACCCAACTGAAAGAAGCAATAAATCTGATACACTTTTTGATTGTCAGATCTCATAAACAAAATCCTATGTGTACTTTGGGGTACCATATGTCAAGAATAATGACAAACAGTATCATGTCCACAGGGGGACAGTTAGGTTGATAGCAAATCTGGAAATCAAGTCATGTGAGAAAAGGCTGAAAGACTAAAATATTTTACCAATTAAAAATCTGATAAGGAAACAAGTATATGAGAAGGAAATAAGGTGAAACTTCCATGCGTATCCAAATATCAAATTAGGGCTAACAAGAGGAAGAATATCTAGTAAATTTCATTAATTCCATAATGGCTTAGATGATCACGTCACAGGGATGTGTTGAGATAGGTGGAAAGCTGGATTTGACTGTTTCCTTAGATTCTTACTCTGTCTACAACCTAATGCATTAATAAGAACTACTATATCCCCTTTGATTATTATAGCTACATCATTTATCTGGAATCAAAGGACTGTACATTCCATTCTTAATACCATTTCCTCACCAACACTATCCATTCCATAACACTTGAAACCATTCTATGTCCTAAGAAATCTATTTTATAAATAATTTGAAAGCTTACACTTACCAGTATGTGTTACTAATACATTCATTATCTTTTGGAATGTTGCTATATATATGTGTGTGTGTGTGTGTGTGTGTGTGTGTGTGTGTGTATTTGACAGTATTACAGATGTCTCCCATTTTTTCCCTATTTGCCCCCCTCCAACCTACTCCTGTCCTATCCCAGGCCTTCCCCACATTATTTTCTCTGTCCCTGGATTATGCATATATTCTTTAGTTAATCTCTTCCTGCTCTCACCTCCTGCCCCCCGGAGGTCTGTTATCCTGTTCTTTGTATTCCTATCTCCGGTACTATTTTGTTCATCAGTTTATGTTGTTCATTAGATTCCACATATAAGTGAGATCATGTGATATTTGTTTTTCTCTAACTGGCTTATTTCCTTAGCATAATTCTCTCCAGGTCCATCCATGCTGTCTCAAGGGTAAGAAATACTTCTTTTTTATAGCTGCGTAGTATTCCATTATGTAAATGTACCACAGCTTTTTTTTTTTTACACTCATCTATTGATGGGCACTTGGACTGTTTCCATATCTTAGCTCTTGAAAATAATGCTGCCATGAACATAAGGGAACATACCTTCTTTCTAATTGGTGTCTCAGGATTCTTAGGATATTTTCCAAGAAGTGAGTTCATTGGGTCAAACAGCAGTTCCATTTTCATTTTTTTAGGAACCTCTATATTGTTTTCCATAGCGGCTGCACCAGTCTGCATTCCCACCAGCAGTACACTAAGGTTCCCTTTTCTCCACATCCTTGTCAGCACTTGTTTGTTGATTTATTAATGGTGTCCATTTTGGCTCTTAAAAATCTTCTATCAGGTTGTTACTCAACATTTGTCATTTGGTTACCTATTCCACCTATTCTAGATGTCTATTGTACCCACTTGGGTTCATAAATTTCCTGAAAAAATACAAGTTTTTGGAATAAAAACAAAATTTCTAGGTTGAACATATACTTTTCATCTGGATTTTAAAAATATAGCCACCCAGAAGTTAAGAGCCTCTAACCTAAAATATTAACATATTCCACTCTTCTACATTCGCTATTTATACTGCTAGAATCCTAGAATCCTCTAAATTACACACAATTTCCACTGCATTTTTCTATCTTAAAAGTATTCTTTCCATCATGTTTTCCCACACAATTTCACAATTGAAAACTATAAAGAAGTGGATAATTCCCTTATATAAATATAACTTTCCCATACTCCAAGATTATAAAGGTTATCAATAAAATATGATGATAACCCTACAGAGTGAAGCGTCCCAGGTTTGATTCTGGACAAGGGCACATGCCCAGTTTCAGGCTCAATCCCAGTAGAAGACGTGCAGGAGGCAGCCAATCAATGATTCTCTCTCATCTTTGATGTTTCTATTTCTCTCTCCTTCTCCCTTGTATAAAATCAATAAAAATATATTTAAAAAAAATATTGAAAGCCAGGAAATTATGCAATCTAATTCACTTCACCAAAATATCCCATTGAAAAGAAAGAAACGAGAGAGAAACCAAGATGGCAGCGTAGGTAAACACCGGAGTTTGCTGCCTCGAACAACCACTTCAAAAATACAACTAAAA